GACCTGTTGTTTGCTGCGGTCTCAGAACTGGCAGCAGGGCCTTCTCTGGTTCTGTGGTCCCTGTCCTGCTAGCCTGACACAAAGCAGGCGCTCAGAGGCTTGAATGGGGGCACGGAGCAGTTAGCCCCTTATCAAGATAAGCCGTTCTATTTACTATTGTGGAAACAGTCAGAATCGGATCACTTTCAGTCCTTTTGAGAAAGTACAAGAGGCTCCCATCGCCAGCTGCCCCATGACACATGTTCATGGAGACATCGCAGATGGTCCCCAGAAGGCTTTCCGCAGATGTCGAACGAAGCCATGTTTATAAAGTGCTTGATCGCGATTCCTGGTGCTTAGAAACTCCTCACTAGAGGCAGCCGAAGCGGCAACATAGTGGAAATACAATTCCGAACTTAGCCTTGCAAGACTATTTAACCCCCCCCCCCCCCCCCCTTTCAGCCTCTACTGCCTCAGCAAGTCTTCATGCTGCTTGGTAAAATTCGGATTCCCTAAGCATCTTGTCCTGCGGCAGCAGCACCATCTTGTGGTTACATTAGGTTATGACAAAATACATGATCGCTCCCAAGTAGTCAGTCCCCGTCAGACTGTAGGTGTGGAGGGAGCAGGTGATGTTGGAAGCTAACCTGGCCTTGGGGGCTATGTGACACATCCTAAATGACACGCAGGAAGTCTTAAGCTTCCCCCGTGTGACTTAAAGGCAGATGGTGGTTCTGGCCGTTTCTGCTGCCTCTGTCCTCTTTCCTAATTGGCTCTGCCCTAGTTCTGACTCCAGCTGGAGTTTTCTGGCGCCTCTAAAGCCGCATTTGAAATGAGTTAGCGCCATCTACTGGGAGAACCCAGGAAGACAGGTTGGGGAGTCCCAGCCCAGGTCTGAAGAATGAATCTTGTAAAGAGGGAAGGTCACGCGTGTTTCTTATATTTGGATAATACCTTAAAAAGTATTTTGTTTTGTTTGCTTTGACTATTCTAGTTGTGACCTCCCCCATTACTGAGGATAAACTCAGGTTCACTTGTGCAACAAGTTGGCCGACTTCGTCACTCTCTGCTAGTTCACTTTAAAAATGGTGTTTTAAAACTTCTGTTTCCAGGAACCTTTTTACTAACCAAGAAACTATCTTTTTCCTTTTTTTTTTTTAAAACTGTGGACTACCTCCATTAATGAGTTGCAAAAGGCAATTCTGTAACCAAATTCATTTAAAATATAATATCGTAAAACAAATAAAATGATTTGTTTTGATTTGATAATGCTTCATTAACACTTATATTTTTATTTCAAGTTGCAGCATTAGTTGTTAAGTTAGAGAATCAATAGAATATGCAGTTTCCAGCTTACTCTTTAAAGATACCTGGTTTTAGAAAAAAATACTTTAAAAATAAAATAGCTGTGAAATGGTTTTGGCCAAAAATTTTGCATTTTAAAGAGATCCTCAAACAATAAGTCACTGCTTTTTGACTGCCTCAACCTCTGGGAACAGTCTCAAGAATATCTTTGTAATAAGGCTTTATGCCCCTTATTTTTCAAGACCCTTCTAGAATTTGTCTGTCCCTTTTGTTTTTGTTGCTTTGCTTTTTCAGACACAGAAACATACCTCATCACCTCACTTCTTAGAACTGATTAGAAATAGTAAATTGGAAAGCAAGGAGGCCACAAAAAGAGTCAAAGACAGACTGCAGGAAACCACAGAAAATGGCTGATTGCAAGAGGGACAGTATACTATAGAGTATGATTTGTAGAACACAGGAAAGGGAGTCAGAGGACAGGATGGAAAGCTTTTTAATGAAATAATAAACAGACATATATTTTGAGGCTCACTAATAATAATTTATATTCCTAATGATTCTTAGCGATTGAGAAAAAAGTAATTTTCTTTCTTGAAAAATGCTGACATATTAATAGCATTTTAGTAAAACAAAACAAAACAACAACAAAAGACCAAACACTTTATCTTGGTGCCTCAGAGGCACAGAGCCACATTAAAGGGTTGTGTAGTTTCTTTGGTGCTTTTTTTGAGGGATTTTGTTTATGTGGGGCTAAGATTGAGGTGTCCACAGGTGTGTTGTGTAAGTGGCAGCTATAGATTGATTCCATTTCTGTTGAAGTAGACAGTGCCCTCAAGTGGAGTTAAAGACACATTACAAAAGGAAGCAGAAAGAGGAGCCGCTCAAGCTGCTATGGCCTTCATCCATCTTCACCAAATATCGCACAGATGCTTTAAGTGATGGTGGATTGGAGGAGTGCTGACTTTAGCCTGTCTCGGGTGATTTGTGTCTCTCATTTGGGCTTACAGAGGGACAGACTTGTGAAAATGTTACCGTGATGGGACACTTCATCACCTAAAAGTGTTTTCTAAGGGAACTGTTACTGTGTGTTGAATTGCCAGGTTGCTTAATCATTGAGTCAAATAAATACAGTTTGATGCTTTAGTTTTAAGTTTATTTGATTTGAAAATCAAGGATAAAATGCTTACATAGTATAATGTTATTAATTTCTGCCTATAAGCACAGGGCTGGAGAAGGATATCTCTGTCTCAAAGAAGGATGAAACAAACATGAACTGTATTTGTGAATCAAGTAGCTATATTCTTATGGTAGAGATACATGGAAACCATTCTTTTCATGGAGATAATTAAATAAGTCCTTAATTATAAGGAATGAAATTGAGTTTTTAAAATTTTTCTTTGGCAGTTAGCCTCTATGCCATGGGTTTCTAAACTGGTTTATAATACCTGGCATGGATTCCCTCTACCAGAGCAGGCCTCACATTCAATAGAGCATGGTTGACTGAGTCCATCACAGTCTTGCCTGCTTGGTTAGTATTGTAGTCCATAGGATTCCCAGCTGGCCAAGACCACTGACGTCCCATTCTGCCAACCCAGCCTGCATAGCACCTTTCAGCACTGTGAAAGCTAGCCAGAGGAGGACGTGTCCATCCCAGCTCTAGCTTCATTTCTTGGTTTCTCTGTATCTTACAGCTAAGGAATGTGGTGTCATTAGTAATAGAATCTCGTTATCTAGTTGTGGTTGGCAACCAAGAGGACTGGCAAGAGTCTGGACTGTCTTGGGGGCATTTGGAAGCTCCCTGCCTAACAATTCTTAAGGAGGTATTTCTACATCTGGCACTGGGATTTTTGTTTAATAGCCATGACTTCCAGGGGTAGCATTATTTAGTCAAGCAGGATATCTCCCTTATGAAGCTAATTTTCTTTTAACTTATATTTCTAAATTGCCTTATGAAATAGTATATATTTGGCTGGAAAAATGGCTTAGCCGGTAAAGGTGCTTGCTGCCAAGCCTAATGACCTGAATTCGATTCCTGGAGCTTACACGGTGGACAGAGAGAACCAATTCCTGTGTTGTCCTTGTACCTTTACATGTGAACTGTGGTATTTGTGTGTAACAAGAGTGGACAACTTTGCCTTGCTCCTGATTTAGTGGGATAGCTTCAAACTTTTCTCCATTTAGCCTGGTGTTGACAATGGGCATGTCATTTACAGCACTTGAAGTTATGTTGTTTTAAGTCATTAGTTAAAGTTGTCTTTAAGAATGAGGCTACAAATTGTAAAATTATTTTTCTAACAGTTTTAAATGCAAGTTAGAGCTGGAAAATAATCACTTGTATGTTCTTCCCTTTATACATATTTAAAACTGTGGTATAGAGTGAACAATTTATAGATATAAGCATTTATAATTCAGTATAATTTTTTTTTTTGGTTTTTTGAGACAAGGTTTCTCTGTAGCTTTGGAGCCTGTCCTGGCACTAGCACTTGTAGATCAGGCTGGCCTCGAACTCACAGAGATCCGCCTGCCTCTGCCACCCGAGTGCTGGGATTAAAACATTGCGTCACCACTGCCCAGTTTATAATTCAGTATAATTTATAGACATAATCATCAAAATCAGATTGAACTAAAAATCTTAGAGCAATGTAATATAGTCATATGTCATCATTGCATTGTCCAACTTTTGATCTACAAATCATTTCCTAACATATATATGTGTATATATATACACTCAAGATTATATTTAATGCTTGTGATTGTAAGAAATAAAATAGTAGTTATAACTAGTATAGTTAATATCTCCTTGTCTAAGCACAAAAGGTATGTGAAAATGAAATTGAGTGGCTAAAGGGATTGGTCAGCACTTAAAAGTGTGTACTGCTCTTCCAGAGGACCTGAATTCAGTTCTCTTCACCCATGGTGGGTGGCTCACAACTGCCTATAACTCCAGCTGCAGAGGATCTAACTGCCCCCTTTTGGCCTCTGGGACTACACACATGTGCCATACAGTCAACAGAGATACAACATATATGTGTAAATAAAAATAAAATGTATAAAAAATAAAATTGAGGAGATAATGTTCCATTACCAGAATGAAGCATATAGATAAATGAATTGTGGATAAAGTTTCAGAATGTAATATTGTCATATTTTTAATTGATAAAAGATGTTCGATACTGTAATGTGTTACTTTCTAAGTTACATGTTTAGAAATAGCCTTTTTAATTTATAAGATTATGTGTATTTTCTCAAATATTGTATCTTATTCATTCATGTTAGACAGAAATGCTACTTTGTAAAGTTTAAAAAAGTCTCAGAGTCTGTATATTAGGGTAATCTTAAAGTTTTTGTTAGATTCTATCTAATTTTATAATTTTGGAAAAGTCATTATTGTTTCTATGGATGCTTTGTAGCTGGAGTTCTTTAAAAACGCAGAAACAGTGGACACAAGTCCTATGGGTCGTTTAGCTCTGAGATATTTATATAGTCAAATGAGATTTTAAAAACATCTTTAGTTTTATTTTAAGATTGTATTGAGTAGAGTCTAAAGTTTGTTTTGCTTGTTTGCCAGGCACTTTGAATTGCTGTCTTTTTACAGCATGGACACCAGGTTGTTAACAACTTGCTTTAGGATTCCAGTAACTTCATTTTTGGGGATTTTATGACAGATTTGCTAGTGGCTCCTTTTTGTGAGTTGATGTTCTGAAGTTACTGTCACAATGAGTTCAGGCCTATGGAGCCAAGAGAAAGTTACTTCACCTTACTGCGAAGAACGGATTTTTTTATCTGCTTCTTCAAGAATGCAGTGTAACAGACAAACAGACACAGAAACTCCTAAAAGTACCCAAAGGAAGTATAGGACAGTACATCCAAGACCGTTCTGTGGGTCATTCAAGAGTTCCTTCTGCAAAAGGCAAGAAAAATCAGATTGGATTAAAAATCTTAGAGCAATCACACGCAGTTCTATTTGTTGATGAAAAGGATGTTGTAGAAATCACTGAGAAATTTACAGAGTTACTGTTGGCAATTACCAACTGTGAGGAGAGGCTCAGCCTATTTAGAAACAGAATTCGACTAACTAAAGGCCTCCAGGTAGATGTGGGCAGCCCTGTGAAAGTACAGCTGCGATCTGGGGAAGAGAAATTTCCAGGAGTTGTGCGCTTCAGAGGACCGTTATTAGCGGACAGGACAGTGTCGGGGATTTTCTTTGGAGTAGAATTGCTGGTAAGTTTGCTAGGACATTTGAGAGAGAGAAGGAGAGAGAGAGAGCGTATGAGAAAGTGAGTGTGCGCGTGAGCGAGAGACCATGAGCACATATTTTCCCCTTTATAAGATTTGTGTTTTATGTTTGTTTGTTTTTAGTACAGTTCTCAGGATGGACCTCAGGACCCTCTGCCTCTGAGCTATAGTCCAGCTCCCAAATTTATTTAATGATAAATTGAGAGGATATAAAGACAATTGCCAATTGTAATTATAAACACTTAAAAAATTGTGAACTATCTTGTGATAGTACCCACAAGATTCCCAGTTCTTAGTGTATGCTTCTAAGTATAACAGTTTAGAGGTAAAATTTTTGAAGTGTGTTGCAGCAATTTCAGTTTGCTCATGCTTATCCCCAGAATGTATAAACTGCCTTGGAACTTATGTGCCGTGGCAACATATCTAAGAATTCTATATTCCAAACTGACTATTGGTTCACATTTGGACACTCTCAGGAGTAGAGAGAGGTCGCGCTTTACTTGCTTCTTGATTTGGCTTTTCGAGCAGTGAAATAATTAGGCTGTGACTGCCAGCTATGGTATGTACTAGCAGGGTTGCCAGCTACTTAACCTACATCAAGTTCTCCTAACCTGTTCCTCATCTGTGAAGTGCTTAGAGCACACATGGCTTATAGTAGTTGTACGGTGGATGGCTGTAGATGGTTACAGTTTGTTCTCAGTAAATGGAGCTGATGCTGCTGTTTGGTTAAAGTTGAATGCCTGTTCATGACAAAAGTCGTGGTAGTACTATGTCGTAAATTTAATCCTCACTCTTTCTCAAAAGAATTATGATCTGAAATTATGAGTTAGTTTCATCATCAGATACAGCTTCTTTATTCTTTAAACACCCTAAACCCAACAGCAGCTGCTAGTCATATTTCATATTATGGATATAATTTAGAGTTTTTCCAAAGTAATTTCCTGAAATCCCTTTAATGGATAATCTTTTTATATGTCTTTTTAAAAAAACTTTGAAAACTAGGAAGAACATCTTGGCCAAGGTTTCACTGATGGGGTATATCAAGAGAAACAGCTTTTTCAGTGTGATGAAGATTGTGGCGTGTTTGTGGCATTGGACAAGCTGGAGCCCATAGACGATGATGACAATGGAGTGGAAAGTGATTTTGCAGCCCTAGGGGATACCATGCAGGCTGAACCTCCCCCTTTGGAAAAAAACTCCAGAGTATCTTTGAAGGTCGGAGAAAGTGTTGAATCTGGAAAAGTAATATTCTGTGATGTTTTGCCAGAAATAGAGAGTCTAGGATATTTTGTTGGTGTGGACATGGTAAGGATTTTTTGAGTTTTATTATTGTGAATATATATATTAATTTTATTATTAATTTAGAAATAAATTGAACACTTTGTATTCTTCAAATTTACAGTATTTTAAAGAAGATATTCCAGTTTGTCTTTCGTACAGGAACATTACAGTAGGAATGTGAGCAGAAACAATACATTTCCCAAATTTTTTCGTGTTTTAAGAAACTGGGATAATAATCTCAGTCTTTTAATTATCCTTATTTTAACTGACCAGTAGACAAAAACAAAAACCAAACCAAAACAATAAAACAAACTGACATTTCTCTGACTAAGTCCAAATATATTGTATGATACTGTGTTTTCCTTTAATTTAAAAATACTTTTGATACTTTTTGTATATTTGCTAAAGTTTAATTAATTTTCTCATAATAATGAATGTAGAAAGTTATTAATAGAAAATACTCAGGAAAAGAACCATACTGCTTTTTGAGTTGACAGAGTATTCCCACAGGATTTTCACTGTCTAAAAACTGTTTTCTTATTGCGGCAAACTGTGTAGAAGAAAGGCTCCAGTGTAACCATGGTTACACTAACAGTTCAAATCATTTGGCATATTCTCATCATGGCCTCTCCACTGTCTGTCTACAGAACTTTTTCATCATCCTGTGCTGTGCTCTGTTTCGATTAAATAAATTCTGCCCAGTTTGCCCATGCGTGGTAACTACAGACTGGGTGTTTGCCTGCTGTAGGTACCTCAGAAGTGAGGTCATATGGTATAATATGACTCCTTTTGTTTGTGTCACTCATTTTATTACTGAATAACCATACTCGTTAACAATGGATGCATTCCAGTGCACATAGTGAATTAACGTGGCCCCAAGAGAATGAGGAGAAAGAAGTTGAGAACATTTTTATCTTAGACTGAAAGTATAGGCAAAAGTTCATTATGGATAAAGGAGATTCCTTCATAATTGTTCTTACCAGGGTGTGTTGGGAGAGGATTATGAGCAGCAGACTCACACAGTGAATATTTTTAATAATCATTTTTATTTATTCATAAATGCTCTACAGAGATGGTTGGGTATGAATGTTCCAGTGTGTTTCTGTTGCCTTGTACTTAGAAATTGTGTAAGATGGCTCATTAGTTAGGTACAAAATAAGAATTTGCCAGACTCTCGCTATGTGAAATTAGAGCCAGAGTAAGACCCGTGGGTCTCTCAGAATCGTTAATAATTAAGAACAAGAATTCTCTAAATGAGAGTTTAGTGTTTCAGAGGAGTTGTAGACTGGGTAGAGAGAATGTTGGAGAAAGAAGGCCATTAGTTTTTGGACTTAGTCTCCCCTTGCTATATAGGTTTCTTGGGCCAGGCTTTAGATGTTACAGGAACTGTTTGGGTCCTCTCCCTTCCTAATGGTGACCTAGGAGGTCATCTTATTTAGCCCAGGCAGGCTGTCTTGAGACTTGCCTGCCAGCTCCACACAAGTTCTGTCCATTGTTTGATTTATGCGAGCATCAGCTCCAAACAGTCCCGTTAGACTTCTTGATAAGAAAGTTCGTCGATCCTAACTTTACTCATGGCTGTCTGTTTCCAGGGACACGCTAACATTCCTCACTGGTTCTCAGGGCAGTTGTTTCATGGCCATCTGCTTGTGCCTCACGAATAACTCCTGTGCTGGTGACACAGTAGAGAATAACTTAGAAAATCAAGACTTTCCCCATTTTTTGAGGAAAGTCTTGTATACCCACAGATAACAAGAGAATTCTGAAGTAACTGCTCTTCTGTTTATAAAAAGACACACAGTAATACAGTGAGCAAAGTGCCCAGGGGATGCAGATGTGTGATTAACTTTAAGGGTAGGTTTCTGGGTAAAATAATGCAATCCTAGTAAGTTTTCTTTTGCAGACAATGTCTCTTTAAACCTCAGCTGGTGTTATTACTGCAGACTAAAGTATGAAAAACGCTTTTGATTCATTATTTTGTGTGTTTGCTGTAAGTTGATTGTTATTATTTTTATTGTAAAACATTGTTACTTTAGCAGATATTTCTAATACAGCCTTCCTTTTGGGCAAAATAGTTAACATTTTTCTATGAAAGATATCTTAGGTAATACTTTGGAAAGAAATGTTGGTGTTCACTTTTATATTTATTGACAAAGGTATATAAAGGTTTACTTTTTTGGCATTTCAAGGATAACCCTATTGGCAACTGGGATGGAATGTTTGATGGAGTACAACTTTGTAGTTTTGCAAGTGTTGAAAGTACAATTCTTCTGCACATCAATGATATCATTCCAGGTATGTCTCCTTTATGTATTCAGAAGATAGTTTCTAACATGTATTTTGTTATGAGAATGCAAATATATACTAAAGATGGATCTTTTGAAGTTGGCTTTATATTGTAGAATTGTCATTATATAGACTAACCTTTCTTTTCTCCCGAACCAAGGCAATAAAGGTTATTTCTAAAAGTATGTAAGTATAGTGAAGTTTATACATTATCTCTTACATTGTCTTCTCCTAGACATTTTAATAGAGAAAGAAATCCTGTCTTGTAATTGGAAGGTTCAAAAATACAAAAAATGCTGTCTCTTGGAGTAAGAGATGAAGCTAGAAGCTTTTAAAAAAATTGTTTATCTCATCTAAACTCCACAGAGGATTCAGGATTCTTATTAAATGATGGCTGAAGTTCCTTTTTTGTTGTTTTTAATTATTTTTTCATTTATTTTACATGGTGATCTCAGTTTCCCCTCCCTCCTCTCCTCTTGTTACCCCCCCCCCCCCGCCCCTGGCCCTGGTTGCCTCCCCTTTGTTTCTGTTCAGAGAAGGGCAGGCCTCCTGTGGGTGTTATGTATGGCATATCAAGTTGAGGTAGGACTAAGCTCCTCCCCTTCTATTAAGACTGGGCAAGGCAACCCAATATGATGAATAGGTTCCCAAAACTTAGCTTAAGAGTTAAGGATCCCAGTGTTAGGAGTCCCACAAGTAGATCAAGCTACACAACTGTCACACATGTGAAGAGGGCTTAGTTCAGTCCCATGCAGGATCCTTCACTATTGGTCCAGAGTCTGTGAGCTCCTATGAGCCCAGATTAGTTGTTTCCGTGGGTTCCTCCCTTTCTTCAACAGGATACTTGGAGTTTGGCCCAGTGCTTTGGTATGGTTCTCTGCATCTGTTTCCATCAGTTACTGGATGAAGACGCTCTAATGACAATTAAGGTAGTCATCAATCTAAATATAAGAGATGTCCAGTTCAGGGACCCTCTCTACTATGGCTAGGAGTCCTCGCTGGGACCATCCTTGTGAATTCCTTGAATTTCCCTGACATGAGGTTTCTTCCTGACCCCGAAGTGCACCCTCATCGGGACAACTCTTTCATCATTCTCCCCCTCCAAGTTCTTTTTGTTTTAAGATGCTATTATGGTAGATCATGCTTCATAACTGTAGTCAGAAACTATTACATAGTTTTATTATATCTGTTATTCTTAGTATTTTACTGCATATATTATTTACTACAAAATAATAATTAGGGCCAACAAGATGGCTCAGTGGGTAAAGGCACTTGCACGCGCGCGCGCACACACACACACACACACACACACACACTGCTGGGTATGTAACACAGAGTGTTTTCCATTGGTATAATTGGTACAGTGGTAAAACACTTTACCATTGAGCTACAGCACAGCCCCTGAACTTAAAAAATAAATGAAAATAAAAACACCACCCAAAAATGAAAAACAATAAACATCCCCCCCCAAAACTTAAGAACCTTTTGTTTTGCCTCAAATAAGTATCTTCTTTGGCTGCTATGAGGTGATTGACAATGGTAGTAACACCAACCACTGCTGTTAGAATTCCCAGTGATAGGCTAGTGCATTGAAGCCAATAGAGGCATTCAGAAATAGGGCTGTCCACAAGCCATAACCAGGGATGTGCCAGGCCTGGAATTAGATGGTTTATGCTATCTCTATGTCGTGAACAGATTTATAAGATAGGTCTTAATATATATTTTGCTGCTTAAAAATACAAAACAGGGAGGTTGGAGAGATTGCTCAGTAGTTATGACACTGACTGCTTTTCCAGAGGTCCTAAGTCCAATTCTCATGGTAACTTACAGCCATCTGTAGTGGGATCTGATGCCCTCTTTTGGCACAAAGTCATACATGCAGATAGAATACTCACATACATAAAATAAATAAATAAATATTAAAAATATATAAAGCAGAATAAACAGCAAAAGCAACAAAAGCAAAACAAAATAAAAAACCCGGGGCTCAAATCAGACTTAAATTATCTATGATGAAAGTGAGTGGCAGAACCAAAGTCCAAAACTCATCTGATTATGAACCTGTGTTCTCTTTAGTCCCCAACAAATCCCATATCCTACGAGTACTCTTGCATTGTGAACATCTGCACAAAAACCTGTATTTCTTAGTGTCACATACTAGGGGATATTATTTTCATGGAGATGGAGATTTCATTTCTGGTTCTATAAAAGATGATTTTACTGTAACGAGAATTATAAGTGAGCAACACACTGTACTTTTTCTTCTAGTGTTTTCCCATTATTGGTAATGTTGACAACAAAATGCTTTTCAATTTATTTTTATAGCTTATTTTAGGCCCTGAATTCCTTATTTCATAGAAATGGAAACTGAAGGCTCCTAACCTGCATTCTACCCTTCCTGTCTGCCTGTTGGTGTCAAGTCATAAATTGTTCTACAATTTGAACATGCTTCCCACGCAGCTTTTAGTTTTGTAGCAGGAGGCATGAGGTTCATATGACAGATCTGCTCTGAAAAAGTCTGACATACTTTACTTTTGATTTCTTTTAAGATATATTTGTTATTGAAAATTTTCATACATGCATATAATGTATTTTGATTATAATACCTCCCCAACTCCTCCTGGGTCTCCCACTCCTAATTCCCTTTCTTACTTTTTGGAAACAAATGGTTTATATTCAGGGAAAACATATGTGTCCTTATGTTAATTAGTTGTGTTTCCTTTTCATCCATGCTTTATAGACAGCACAGTTTGGGATGTTTGTGAATTTAAATGCTTTTTTTAATGTTACAACGAGTGCTTATTGTTTAAAATACAGCAGTGTAAAAGCACCATTCATTCAGATAGTAGAAAGCCCTCAGGTAGACTTCCTTAGATGTGGATGTTTAGGAGGCAAAGCACATAAGCATTCTTGGGGTTGAGACTGTAGCTCCATGGTTAGAGTACTTCAGTGAAGCTGTAAGTTCCAGTCTCCGCACTGAACAAAAGTGATGATTAGGGGTAGCAAGATGGCTCAGTGGGTAAGGGCACTTGCCCTCAAGACTGATTCCTGGAACTCACGTGCTAGGAGGAGAGAATGACTCCTGCAGATTATCATCTGATCTATGCATGCATGCTATGGCACATGGGTGCGTGTGCAGACACACACACACAGAGTGATAAATTAACTAAAAATTTTTAAAATAAAGTAATTCCTATGTAGAACTTTCATTTAATAAGTTGAGATAGATAGTAAATGAACAGAATCTGTGGCCAGTAAGATGGTGATGAGGATGGAGAATGGTCAAACAAGGGGTAAAGAGGATGGGGGGTTGCCCTGTCACATTCGTGTGCTCCCACAGACCTCTGCAGGAGACATTTGAGCAGCACACACAAGAAATTATTTGGGAGCTGAACTAAGAAGGCCTGTTCTAAAAGTTGGAGAGTTATGCTGACTTTATAATGCTAACTTGCTGAATGGCTGGGAATAAGCCCTTGTAATTCTTTCTTTTATTTATGAGTTTTTTTTCCACAGGAGCCAATTCATAGTAAACTGCTTCTCTATACTCATGTCTCACTGATTTCACAATATCCCACAAATTCCACTTTAGTTGGCAAACAAGTATATTTGGGCATTTTTTAAGGATTTTTTTTCCCCAGGGAACTGTCCAATGGTGCTTTTGAAACCTTAAAACCTGCGACATTTTTGTGAGAATGTAATTTTCAATTTTTAGCTATCTTAATTGCATTGTCTTGGGCTTTACATTTTATAGCTGAATGAAGTATGTTGTGGGATTGGGAAAATCATTGTTAGTATAACCATTCAAGAAGGAAGAAGAGGGGCTGGAGAGATGGCTCAGTGATTAAGAGCACTGCCTACTCTTCTAAAGGTCCTGAGTTCAATTCCCAACAAACACATGGTGGCTCACAACCATCTGAAATGAGATCTGATGCTCTCTTCTGGCCTGCAGGCAGACACACCGACAGAATATTTATACATAATAAATAAATAAAATATTAAAAAAAGAAGGAATAAGATTCCTGAGCTGTGAAGCTCAGGGATGCAGAGTTGATTGCGTGTTTTTAGTCTTCTGTAAATTAAAGATTGATGTGTTCTCAGCTTTCTTTCTTTATATATGTATGTATGTGACTAATATATGTTTATATTGCAACTCTAAATTTGTTTGAACTGTAAATTGTCTTAGATTCTGCAGTAGCACATAATAAATAGAAAAAAGAAAAGTAAAACTGTTTTGGAATTGGACTGTAACCTTACAAGGAAATTTTTTTAGCAGTACCCACCATAAAAACATTTTAATTATCTTCTATTTCAACACTGGTATAGAATTAAAATAACCAAAAACAAAACAAAACACGAGTTTCATGACTTGGAAGTCCCTTGTCAAGATCTTCAAGATTCCTGCTTGTCATTGATGTTATTGCTGGTTTAGAGCAGTTGTAAGAAAGGAAGAGAATGCTTTTTCTCTTTCATAGCCATTGATATTCATAAACCTTGAATAGTAGATAATTAAGAACGATACTGCTTTTATACACATAAATTACACGTATTTGCCAACAAAATAAAGCTTGCAAATAGACTTTTAAAAAGTAAAATTATTTAAATGAAAATTAATTTGGTATATTTGAATAAGCCTTCATCTATATTTTGTATCATTAACATTCTTTTCTTGAGGGGAAAAAGCGTGACAGTGTCTCCTTTAGTTCCTTAGTTTATTTATTTTTTCTTGCCCAATTACATCCATTTGTGGGACAGAATTAACATTTCTAGCACGTAGGAAAGATTGTTTTTGGAGCAGCTGAACAGTTGGTGAGATTTGGGAAGAATTCTCCCCAGTGAAATATTTCTTCCTGTTGGTATCTGGAAACCTTTGCTTCACCCCGCTGTTAAAGTGTCCCTCTTTGCACTGCTGTTTCTGATGGTCCAAAGCATTAAAGCTGCTGAGACAGCACATCCAGGTTTGTAAAGTTGCGATGAAGTATGCCAATTTGTGACACTCCCAAAGTATGCATTTCTTTGAGTATCAAAGTAATGCATTGAGCTGTGTCTGTCGTTGTGAAGCTTAAGAGTATAATGCAACTATCAACAACAACTCAGACGACACAGTATGTGCACATTCACAGAAATTTGAAAAGGAAGTCATTTAGTGGGACCCTTTCCTCCTGAGGCTGATCCCAAACTCATAATTTCTTTTTGTATCCTTCCCGATCAGTTTTTTCTTTGTGTTGCATGTCTTCATGGTTTATAACCTTTAAAAATGGTAACAGTTTTGTAGCAATATAATTGATAAAATTGATAATATAGCCATAGACCAGTACATCTCAACCTTAAGAAAAGCTTCTTCCTGCAGAAGATGTCAACACAGAGACCTTCAACTGGTTCAGGTGCAAGAATAAGAGACTGTGGAGTCTGCAGCCTTAAGTGGGCACGTACATTTGCATTCCTCCCACCAAGGCTCAGGGACTTTGCAGAAGAGAGAGCAGAAAGTTCTTAAGAGCCAGAGGTAGAGGTCAACTTCAAGAAAACAGAATTTTCTGGATGCAGCAGGGCAGTTGTATATATAATCTTACAGGAATTGTGATGATGTGTTCACGACCTGTGCAGCTTCAGTCCAGACAAAATCCCAGCCTGTAGGGAGTGGGGAGTAGGTATGAAACCCCACCACCAGCTGAGACTGTGGCTTCTGAAAGGAACTTGATCTACCCACACAGGGTACCACTATTTACAGTAAGATTTTAGAGAAACAGCTACACTGTTTTACAGCATGATTGTATGGTGTCACATGACCACTGGAAATATATGAATGACCCAGTTTTCCACATCCTCAGCAGCATATTCTCAGATCTGTAAAGGCACCTGAGGATCAGGGTACCTTTACCTGTCAGGGATATCTAAATTAGACATATATAAGTTAAATTTGGACATATAGTTTACCCAAACAGTTACAGTTTACCAATGTTACTAGAGGCAAGAAGATTAGAAGGAATATGTAGTTTTTTAGCTGTGGTTCTAAGACAGAGAGTATAATCCTAATCTGTAGAAGGCAGAACCAAGTTTTAACATTGTAAACAATTTAGTGTTTTAAATCAATATCAAGGGGTTTACTCTTAAGTTAAAAAATCTGACTGCTGGGGACTGGAGAGATGGCTCAGAGGTTAAGAGCACTGACTGCTTTTCCAGAGGTCCTGAGTTCAATTCCCAGCAACCACATAGTGGCTCACAACCATCTGTAATATCTGGTGCCCTCTTCTGGCCAGCAAACATACAGAATGATAGAGCACTATACATAATAAATAATTAAATCTTTAAAAAAAATAAAAATAAAAAATCTGACTGCTAGCAACATGTGTTCTTGTACATGAATGTAGAGGTGAAGCCTTAATATCTCAGTAAATTTGCATAGTTATAAACCTTGTTTTTTATGAACAGGACAGGAATTATACAGAAATACATTGTAAGTCAAAGCATATGGGAGAGGAATATTTCCTTGGTGGGACCAGCGCATGTGGGTACCCTTAATAAGGATGGGACTGAGGTTTTGAACTTAACCAAAATGGTGGTTATCTATGCGTTTGTACTTTTTCAGAGCAGTTGTAATCTGGAGTTACAAGTTTTACAGATTTTAAAACATGCGCACAAACGCACACAGGCACAAAGCAAGCATACTGTGACCACATTATTTACATGTATTTATTAAGAGATGAACAAAATTTTTCCAGGAAACTGTGTCAGCTGACCAACTTTAAAATCCTGGAGTAGGCTGCAGGAGCCAGGCAAGCACACAGGTGGTCCCGTTGAGGGCTAGATCAGCAGATGCTATAAGGGAGAACAGAAACCCAACATAGGACAGAACACCTATGCAGGTCAGAGTAGTAGGGCAGGGGGAACAGATCCGTGGCAGGGAGAATCCCAGCATGACCAGATCACATGCCAGGAATGAGAGACAGGAGTGCAGAGATGCAGACAAACAGCAAGAGAAGTGTGTGTGTGTGTGTGTGTGTGTGGGTGTGTGCGCGCGCGCGCGTGCGTGCGTGCGTGCGTGCATATGCAGTGGCCAGTGTCTCCAGCAGCATGGTCAGGGCAGAACTTTCAGGATTCCGATTCCCAGATAGGCGGGAATCTGCAGGTGCCATGCCCCTGGTAACTAAGACAAGTGCGGTGAGACACTGACCACTGAGGGAAGGAAGGGTGGGATTGCAGTAACCAGAAACCATGGGCATATGGGAGTTCTGTCCACTGGTCCTCATGCCGGCAAAAATTTTTAGGCATTTAGGACATTGGTGTCAGCCATCCCCAATTTAAAAAGACTTGTAAAAGGCAGTCCAATGGTGTTTGGGGATCAGGCTTTGAATTGCAGGTGCCCATTTCGCAAGTCTATGCCGGACCCAAAGCCGAGTGCAGTGCATCCACTCTGGTAAGCGTTGGATCAAAAATAGGGGGTGTAGGAAATTCCCTTGAACAGAACATCTTCTGAAAAAGGGGTCCCACAGGGCAAAGAAGGTTCATGTCCCGGTAACAGGTTGGGAGCCTGGCACGGCCATGTCTTCGGCAGGATACCCTGAGAATCGCAAGAGGCCCTGGGCCTCTAAGGTAGTGACTTGGAAACGACAGCTTACCCAGTTGAAAGCTGATCTTAGCTGGCTGAGGGCAGGAGCAGGGGAGAAGGGTGTTTCCCACCATGAGGCCCCGGGCAGTGAGAAAAACAGCCCTTTGGTGGAACCTCCAGATGCAAAGTTTCTGCACCCCATAACCCTTTCCACTGACACAATAATCCAAATCAGACCAAATCAAAACGAATTAGAAAAAGCCCATGTTTAATAGATAGCATGCTCCCGGATGGCTTTCTAGTCCTCCAGAGAGGAGAAGGGAAAGAAAGACTAGAAAACCACATGTTTGTTCTGTGGGGAGCAGTTTAAAAACCCTGTGAGAATGGTCTTGAGCATCTTTGGGGAGGGGTCATCATTTGATGGGCTTTCTTGGGTGGAACCTGGTCTGAGGCAATTGGAGGGGGAGGCTCGGGGTAGAGCTTCCATCTGAACATTCCAGACTCTTTGGATATATGGATGCTAGGGGTTGGGTTGAAGCTTCCATCCAAACAGACCCTATGCCTAAAGGCTTTGGTGGAGGGTAATTACAGTTTTCACACTCCTAGAACTTGGAGCATCACCTCCAGCATCACTAGCAGAGCTTGCATCATGCCTCATCCTTTTGGGGATAATTTGCTTAGCCATCTTAACAGAGTACAAAGGGAGGACCCCTGGCTGCATTTGTTATAAGACCCAACCTGTGTAATATACATATATTGTGGTATCCATATGGTTGTGCTCTTTTTCAAATGGAGTTACAAACTCTCAGTTACAATTGACAGTGGGCATTAGTAATCTTTAGTCAGCTTATATGCTCTAATTAGGAACCTTCCTCCAGTGATGGTTATTTTTCTACAAAAACTGTCATAGATAACATTTGTAAATATCTGAATGGTAATGTCATAAAACATTTATAGTATTTCTTTCATTGTATCATTTTTGAAATTATGGTTAGTCAGTATATTTTTAATTGAAATGATATCTCAGTATTCTATTTGATCATATTTTGAAGTGTTTAAGATATATAGTTTAATATATATTTTCCTCCTCCTCCAGTCATGATAAAAAGATATCAAGCATTATTTACATACAGTTAATTCAGTATGACTTTTATTTTGTTACCTTTTATATTTAACACATAAAAATTTTCTTATTTTTTCTTTTTGTCCTTAAAATTCCACTGTGTGTGATACTGTTTTGGCTGATAACACTTTTATCAGGTATGGGGCTCAGCAATTGTATTGCACTTCATGGATGTGCTGTTAAACTTCCTGAGGGGAAGCCTTTCATCTTGACTCCTCTGTTTTTATTAGATCAGTGTTATGAGTGTCGGATGAGTGTTATCAGGTTTTAATAGTTAGAAAGATCTTTGAATTTAAAAGAAGTTTGTCAAAATTTTTTTTCCTGTGTTTTGAAGTGAAACTTGGAATGCTTCCATCAAAAAATTTAGTTCTGTATCTCTGGCTTTCTGCATTATTGATTTGTGTGTAATTCTCTGCTTTTCCTGTTTGCATTTGTTTGTATACATATCTGTTATTCTTCATGCATGTTATGTTTAAAGGTGGAAACATACTTAGTACTGAGTCCATTCCTAACTCTGATTTGTCTCCTACCCAGGTTTTTATCAAGCTGTGTTCTGTGAAATACACTGATCCAGCATACTTGGGTGGCTGAGAAAGTTTTATCAAGTCAGTTTAGTGCAGCACATTGGTTAGAGGTTATCCAGGCACGTGGGCATGTAAAGGCTCCGGTTTTTACAGTAAACAAATTGTCCATGTTTATCTTGGCACCCTCCATAAACGCTTGAGTGTAAAACGCTGTAATGTGTAGGGTTGTGCTGGGCATGCTGATCTGGAAAATGTAACGAAAATTATGAATAAGGTTTTCTTAAAAGCTTTTTAAAACTTCAAATAAAATTGACTGCATCTGACTAACTTTTCAAAAATTAAAGCCTTTTGATAACTGATGATTATATTTTCTTACAGAAATTATATTTTTAAGTACAGTGCTGATTTTTTTTCACCTGAGAAAGTACCTTTCAGTACTGTGGAGTCTTTAAAGAGAATCTGTAAGATTATAAAGATTGTGCTTTTTTTGTTGGAAAGGATTTCTTTGTTTTTTATGCTAAACTATGTTTCTTCCATATATAGTTAAAAAGTATGTTTACTATTTCAGAGAGCATGACACCGGAAAGGAGGCCTCCCAAACTTGCCTTTATGTCAAGAGATGATGGTGACAAAGGTTCATCTAGTATTAATGAACCAAAGGTTACAGGTATGGAGCCCATTCTTGGTAGTTTACAATATGATAATATGATTCTCCAAGATGTTAAATAAGCTATATGTTATTGTTTGTGTGTGTATATGTATATATATGTATACATATAGTTTGTTCCTACACTTTATGTCAACTAAAATTTTATGTACATGATTTTAAGTGAGGATGTAGTAAAGAAACCACTGAAATGGCCAGCCTATGAGCTGTGGAGGGAGCTTTTTATTTTGATAAGAGAGAACAGCTGGCGGTGTTACACGCCTCAATCCCAGCTCTCAGGAGGCAAAGGCAGGTGATCTCTGTGTTTGAGGCCAGCCTGGTTGACCAAGCAAGTTCCAGTGAAAAACACTAGAGGGGAAGGGAGAGAGAGAGAGGGAGGGAGGGAGCTTCTAATACACACCAGAAAAAGTTTCGGCCTGTGTTCTGCTTGTTCTGCTGAGCTTTGTCTAAATGAACCTTTAGGAGCTGACTGCCATGCATTCACACGGAGTATCCACAGTTTCACTTGGGAAGAACAAGTCCCCAAGGATGGTGTCATGTACAGCTGCCAGGGTGCAGCTTTTGGTGCTTTTGCTTATTTTTTTGTACAGCTTTTCTGAGTTGGCTTGGGCAGAATCTTCTTTGAGCAGTGAAGACTGCATGCTTGCCACTAACCTTTTTCTCTAATTCATGAACCATCCGGACTTGGATTTTCTGGAAAGATTTCTTCTGAGAAACTGGTGCTAAAATGAGGATTGCTTTCTGACCATCAGCAGCTTCAGTTTCCTTGGCTGTGGTGGGTGATACTGAGTTTCTAAGCTGTGCCTTGAGATCTGAGTTCATCTCCAGCTCAAGCAGTGCATGAGAGATGCTAGACTCGAATTCATGTCTTCTTGTCGTCATCAGGCTTCCTAGTCTTGGTGCTTGAGCTGATCCTGGCCTTCTCCTGAAAGGAGGAAAGTACCCCTGGTCATATGGGTCGTGGGCTGCATTGTCAGGCCATTGACAGGCACAGGCCGAATATTCCACCACATTCCTAATGAGGGCACAGAGCCTCGGAGGTCCATCCTCCTAAACTACAAAGAACAAGAAATTGTGTTAATAAAATTCTAAGATGTTTATATTGTAAATCTAAAAAAAATAAATTATTTCTTTTGTAATGTTGGGGATCAAAGTCAACAGAACCTTATAAGGTAGGTAAGTACTTTTTTACTCAGCTATTGTTCCAGACACTGAGATTACTTTTTTATTTTTATGTTTTGGTGTTTGCATCAAATCTGGCATCTTACACAAACTAAAATAGGACTCTACTCCTGAGCCATATATCCACCCAAAACCTGAATGTTTTTTAACTTAATTTGTTCATCAGCTTGTATGATCACATTTGAAGTTTATGAAGGGAAATTATAATGATGAGCCACTTATTAATGGGATGAGTTCTGATAAGTGCATCATTCGGCAGTTTGTTTTCTTGTGTGACTTTTTTTTACGAGACCTCTTGTTTGTTCCCAGCTGCTCAGCCCCAAAATAATCACACAGAAACCATATTATTTGCAATACTGTTTGGCCAATAGCTTAAGCATATTTCTGGCTAACTCATCTAAAATTAATCCATCTCCATTAATCTGTGTATTGCTACTAATCTGTGGCGGACCACGTAAAGTTCTGGCATCTTCTGTGGGGCTATATGACTTCTCACTGACTCTGCCCTTCTTCCTCCCAGCATTCAGTTTTCCCCACCTAGCTCTGTTCTACTCTATCAGGCCAAGCCTATTTCTTTATTAACCAATGGTATTCACAGCATGCGGAGGGGAATCCCACATCATGTGACCATCATAGAATGCACTTCACAAACCTTGGTGAAAGAACTTTGTGTATGTCTAGGCTCTTTAACACTGCTGGATGTTCTTTTGTTGACTGCAAAGGGGTTTCATCCTGTGGATCGTGACCCCTTTGGGGTTTGAATGACCCTTTTATTGGGGTCGTTTAAGACCATTGGAAAAGAAAGATATTTATATTGCAATTCATAACAGTGGTAAAATTGCAGTTATAAAGTAACAACGAAAATAATTTTCTGGTTGGGGTTTGCCACAGTTTGAGGTATTGTATTAAAGGGTGTCAGAATTAGGAAGGTGGAAAACCACTGTTATATGGTATGAATGATAGAGGTGAAATTCGTGAGCCAGTAATTTCATCAAAGTTAGAGGTGACAGGAGGTCAGAAGAGCGAGTGGAAAGATTTCGGGGAAGAAAGTGCGCGGGAGAGGGTCGGACGTGTGCAAGTGCGCAGGCGCGAGTGTGGGGCGGGCTGTGAGTGGAATCTCAGCGAGCCTCAGTCTCTGCTGCATCCCCTTGCCTACCGCCATGGCTGCCTACAAGCTGGTCCTCATCCGGCATGGCGAGAGCGCCTGGAACCTGGAGAACCGCTTCAGAGGCTGGTTCGATGCCGACCTGAGCCCGTCGGGCCACGAGGAGGCGAAGCGCGGCGGACAGGCGTTGCGAGATGCTGGCTATGAATTCGACATCTGCTTCACCTCTGTGCAGAAGAGAGCAATCCGGACCCTCTGGACAGTCCTAGATGCTATTGACCAGATGTGGCTGCCAGTGGTCAGGACCTGGCGCCTCAATGAGCGACACTATGGGGGGCTGACTGGTCTCAATAAAGCAGAAACTGCTGCTAAGCATGGTGAGGCACAGGTAAAGATCTGGAGGCGATCTTACGATGTCCCACCACCGCCAATGGAGCCTGACCATCCCTTCTACAGCAACATCAGTAAGGATCGCAGGTACGCAGACCTTACTGAGGACCAGCTACCGTCCTGTGAGAGCCTGAAGGACACTATTGCCAGAGCACTGCCCTTCTGGAATGAAGAGATTGCCCCCCAGATCAAAGAGGGGAAGAGAGTCCTGATTGCAGCCCATGGCAACAGCCTTCGGGGGATCGTCAAGCATCTGGAGGGTCTCTCAGAAGAGGCCATCATGGAGCTGAACCTGCCAACTGGCATTCCCATTGTCTATGAATTGGACAAGAACTTGAAGCCCGTTAAACCCATGCAGTTCCTGGGAGATGAAGAGACCGTGCCGAAAGCCATGGAAGCTGTGGCCGCGCAGGGCAAGGCCAAGAAGTGAAGGCGCACAGACAGACTTCTGCCCCGAGACCCTCCTTCCTGCCTGTCTGCCTCCTGCGCCCTTCCCAGCACCCGTCACTGACTCCATGTTTAGGATCTTAAGTTTAAGTTGTAGCTGCAGATGGGGACCAGTGGCTCCCATTTCGTTTTAGTATTTTATCCCCTGCACCCACTCCCTTCATAGAATCTAGTCAGAGTAACACCTCTAGGGTGCAGGTACTTGGTCCACATCCAGGGACGGCTCCCTCCCAGGAGAATTGAGAGGTAGTAATTACAGTTTTCTTAGTCCTTTGTTTACAAGGGTCTGCTTTAGGAGGTCAGGGAGGAACCATGCCGTGGCCTGACCAGTGAGAAGCCTGTCCTGCACTCTTCTGCAGTTGGTAACTGGGGGCTTTAGTCATTCCAGTGGAAGGTGAAAGTAGCCTGCATTTAAAAGATGCCTGCATTTAAAAGATTACCTTCCTCTCTGACCCTAAAGGAGCTGCTGGCCCCCGAAGGTTGGGATCAGTCCTGTCAAGTCTATGTGTTACATTTACTTTTACAAAAACAGAAGTACATACATATTTATCAGTACACAAAAATCCCTCTGAGGTTTCTAGTGGTGATTGAAATAGTCTATGTGGTCACCAGAAAATAAGCCATTCCTCATATCAAGTGGGATAAACTCCTTGTCCTCAAGGGACAGGAGTGTCTCTTACTGTGTGTTAGGACCCCTCTACCTTGTCTTGTAGAGGTGAAGTGCCCCTTGATCATGTCCAGCGTTTTGTCTTTCGCTGTCTGAATCATGTTCCAGCTGCTTGACCCTACCATGTGGGTCCAGAAATTGTTTTGGGCATACTAAATCTTCTTTTCCAGATCAGTATAATAAAGGAGTGATGTGCAATAAAAAAAAAATTTTAAAAAAAAGGAAAAAAAAGTAGAGGTGACATTGAAAAATAGACTACATGGAATGATTTTTTTTTTGTCCAGATTTCTTTAGATAGTCTGTAGTGTCCTGAAACTTGCTCAATAGACCAGGATGGCCTCAAACTCAGATGTGCCTGCCTCTACTAAGTACTGGGATTAAAGGCTCGTGTCACCACTGACCACCAGGATGGTTTCTTAGAGCTTTAATATAAACGGCTAACTTTTATATTAATTTTATAGCTCCTACTCTCTTCTTGTTGACTAATTACCAAACTTTTAAAGCCGAAGATAATACAATACTATGTATATGTATATTAGTTGTGTGAGCAGTTGTTCTACCATACGCATGTTAATTTATTTATAAAATTTCTTTTTATAACATATTGGCTTTTTACAAAAGGAACTTTTCTTGTTCCATAGGATCTACCTCAGACCCTGGAAGTAGAACCAGTTCTGAATTATTTTGTTCCTTAATTAGGTCATCTGTTGACTCACAACAACAATCCAAATCCAAAAATTCATTGTATATTGATGAAGGTAATCTATAATTTTAGTCCTCTTTATAATGGTACCCTCTGTTTAATATGTAAGGGGAAATGACTTTTTCATCAATATTTGTTAATTTTGGAAACAGTGAATAGATCATAGCTAATATGACAATATTGCTGAACTAAAATATTAAACATAGTTTCAACTACACTGTTATTAGGGTTGAGGATACATTTGAAATGTGTTAGTAGTCTGGGTTTTGTTTTGCTTTGTTTTTTTTACCCGAGACAGAGTTTCTCTGTATAGAAAGTCCTTGCTGTCCTAGAACTTGCATTATTGATTTGTGTGTAATTCTCTGCTTTTCCTGTTTGCATTTGTTTGTATACATATCTGTTATTCTTCATGCATGTTATGTTTAAAGGTGGAAACATACTTAGTACTGAGTGTCTTGCTAACTCTGATTTGTCTCCTACCCAGGTTTTTATCAAGCTGTGTTCTGTGAAATACACTGATCCAGCATACTTGGGTGGCTGAGAAAGTTTTATCAAGTCAGTTTAGTGCAGCACATTGGTTAGAGGTTATCCAGGCACGTGGGCATGTAAAGGCTCCGGTTTTTACAGTAAACAGATTGTCCATATTTATCTCGGCACCCTCCATAAACGCTTGAGTGTAAAACGCTGTAATGTGTAGGGTTTTGCTGGGCATGCTGATCTGGAAAATGTAACGAAAATTATGAATAAGGTTTTCTTAAAAGCTTTTTAAAACTTCAAATAAAATTGACTGCATCTGACTAACTTTTCAAAAATTAAAGCATTTTGATAACTGATGATTATATTTTCTTACAGAAATTATATTTTTAAGTACAGTGTTGATTTTTTTTCACCTGAGAGAGTACCTTTCAGTACTGTGGAGTCTTTAAAGATAATCTGTAAGATTATAAAGATTGTGCTTTTTTTGTTGGAAAGGATTTCTTTGTTTTTTATGCTAAACTATGTTTCTTCCATATATAGTTAAAAAGTATGTTTACTATTTCAGAGAGCATGACACCGGAAATGAGGCCTCCCAAACTTGCCTTTATGTCAAGAGATGATGGTGACAAAGGTTCATCTAGTATTAATGAACCAAAGGTTACAGGTATGGAGCCCATTCTTGGTAGTTTACAATATGATAATATGATTCTCCAAGATGTTAAATAAGCTATATGTTAATGTGTGTGTGTATTTGTATATATGTGTATATATATGTATACATATAGTTTGTGCCTATCCTTTATGTACATGATTTTAAGTGAGGATGTAGTAAAGAAACCACTGAAATGGCCAGCCTATGAGCTGTGGAGGGAGCTTTTTATTTGGATAAGAGAGAGAACAGCTGGCGGTGTTACATGCCTTCAATCCCAGCTCTCAGGAGGCAAAGGCAGGTGGATCTCTGTGTTTGAGGACAGCCTGGTTGACAGAGCAAGTTCCAGCGAAAAACACTAGAGGGGGAGAGAGAGAGAGAGAGAGAGAGAGAGAGAGAGGAAGGGAGGGAGCTTCTAATGCACACCAGAAAAAGTTTCAGCCTGTGTTCTGCTTGTTCTGCTGAGCTTTGTCTAAATGAACCTTTAGGAGCTGACTGCCATGCATTCACACGGAGTATCCACAGTTTCACTTGGGAAGAACAAGTCCCCAAGGATGGTGTCATGTACAGCTGCCAGGGTGCAGCTTTTGGTGCTTTTGCTTATCTTTTTGTACAGCTTTTCTGAGTTGGCTTGGGCAGAATCTTCTTTGAGCAGTGAAGACTGCATGCTTGCCACTAACCTTTTTCTCTAATTCATGAACCATCCGGACTTGGATTTTCTGGAAAGATTTCTTCTGAGAAACTGGTGCTAAAATAAGGATTGCTTTCTGACCATCAGCAGCTTCAGTTTCCTTGGCTGTGGTGGGTGATACTGAGTTTCTAAGCTGTGCCTTGAGATCTGAGTTCATCTCCAGCTCAAGCAGTGCATGAGAGATGCTAGACTCGAAGTCATGTCTTCTTGTCGTCATCAGGCTTCCTAGTCTTGGTGCTTGAGCTGATCCTGGCCTTCTCCTGAAAGGAGGAAAGTACCCCTGGTCATATGGGTCGTGGGCTGCATTGTCAGGCCATTGACAGGCACAGGCTGAATATTCCACCACATCCCTAATGAGGGCACAGAGCCTCGGAGGTCCATCCTCCTAAACTACAAAGAACAAGAAATTGTGTTAATAAAATTCTAAGATGTTTATATTGTAAATCTAAAAAAATATATTATTTCTTTTGTAATGTTGGGGATCAAAGTCAACAGAACCTTATAAGCTAGGTAAGTCCTTTTTTACTCAGGTATTGTTCCAGACAGTGAGATTACTTTTTTATTTTTATTTTTTGGTGCTTGCATCAAATCTGGCATCTTACACAAACTAAAATAGGACTCTACTCCTGAGCCATATATCCACCCAAAACCTGAATGTTTTTTAACTTAATTTGTTCATCAGCTTGTATGATCACATTTGAAGTTTATGAAGGGAAATTATAATGATGAGCCACTTATTACTGGGATGAGTTCTGATAAGTGCATCATTCAGCAGTTTGTTTTCTTGTGTGACTTTTTTTTACGAGACCTCTTGTTTGTTCCCAGCTGCTCAGCCCCAAAATAATCACACAGAAACCATATTATTTGCAATACTGTTTGGCCAATAGCTTAAGCATATTTCTGGCTAACTCATCTAAAATTAATCCATCTCCATTAATCTGTGTATTGCTACTAGGCTGTGGCTGACCAGGTATAGTTCTGGCATCTCCTGTGGGGCTATATGACTTCTCACTGACTCTGCCCTTCTTCCTCCCAGCATTCAGTTTTCCCCACCTAGCTCTGTTCTACTCTATCAGGCCATGCCAATTTCTTTATTAACCAATGGTATTCACAGCATGCGGAGGAGAATCCCACATCATGTGACCATCATAGAATGCACTTCACAAACCTTGGTGAAAGAACTTTGTGTATGTCTAGGCTCTATAACACTGCTGGATGTTCTTTTGTTGACTGCAAGGGGTTTCATCGTGTGGATCGTGACCCCTTTGGGGTTTGAATGACCCTTTTATTGGGGTCGTTTAAGTCCTTTGGAAAAGAAAGATATTTATATTGCAATTCATAACAGTGGTAAAATTGCAGTTATAAAGTAACAATGAAAATAATTTTCTGGTTGGGGTTTGCCACAGTTTGAGGTATATATAAAGGATGGCAGAATTAGGAAGGTGGAAAACCACTGTTATATGGTATGAATGATAGAGGTGATATTCGTGAGCCAGTAATTTCATCAAAGTAGAGGTGACATTGAAAAATAGACTACATGGAATGATTTTTTTTTGTCCAGATTTCTTTAGATAGTCTGTAGTGTCCTGGAACTTGCTCAATAGGCCAGGATGGCCTCAAACTCAGATGTGTCTGCCTCTACTAATTTCTGGGATTAAAGGCTCGTGTCACCACTGACCACCAGAATGGTTTCTTAGAGCTTTAATATAAACGGCTAACTTTTATATTAATTTTATAGCTCCTACTCTCTTCTTGTTGACTAATTACCAAACTTTTAAAGCCGAAGACAATACAATACTATGTATATGTATATTAGTTGTGTGAGCAGTTGTTCTACCATACCCATGTTAATTTATTTATAAAATTTCTTTTTATAACATATTGGCTTTTTAAAAAAGGAACTTTTCTTGTTCCATAGGATCTACCTCAGACCCTGGAAGTAGAACCAGTTCTGAATTATTTTATACCTTAAGTGGGTCATCTGTTGACTCACAACAACAATCCAAATCCAAAAATTCATTGTATATAGATGAAGGTAATCTATAATTTTAGTCCTCTTTATAATGGTACCCTCTTTTTAATATGTAAGGGGAAATGACTTTTTCATCAATATTTGTTAATTTTGGAAACAGTGAATAGATCATAGCTAATTTGACAATATTGCTGAACTAAAATATTAAACATAGTTTGAACTACACTGTTATTAGGGTTGAGGATACATTTGAAATATGTTAGTAGTCTGGGTTTTGTTTTGCTTTGTTTTTTTACCCGAGACAGAGTTTCTCTGTATAGAAAGTCCTTGCTGTCCTAGAACTTGCATTATTGATTTGTGTGTAATTCTCTGCTTTTCCTGTTTGCATTTGTTTGTATACATATCTATTATTCTTAATGCATGTTATGCTTAAAAGTGGAATCATACTAGTACTGAGTCCATTCCTAACTCTGATTTGTCTCCTACCCAGGTTTTTATCAAGCTGTGTTCTGTGAAATACACTGATCCAGCATACTTGGGTGGCTGAGAAAGTTTTATCAAGTCAGTTTAGTGCAGCACATTGGTTAGAGGTTATCCAGGCACGTGGGCATGTAAAGGCTCCGGTTTTTACAGTAAACAAGATTGTCCATATTTATCTTGAAACCCTCCATAAATTCTTGAATATAAAACACTGTAATGTGTAGGGTTGTTTTGGTCATGCTGATCTGGAAAATGTGACGAAAAGTATGAATAAGGTGTTCTTTAAAGCTTTTAAAAACTTCAAATAAAATTGACTGCTTCTGACTAACTTTTCAAAAATTAAAGCATTTAGATAACTGATGATTATATTTTCTTACAGAAATTATATTTTTAAGTACAGTGTTGATTTTTTTTCACCTGAGAAATTACCTTTCAGTACTGTGGAGTCTTTAAAGAGAATCTGTAAGACTATAAAGATTGTGCCTTTTTTGTTGGAAAGGATTTCTTTGTTTTTTATGCTAAACTATGTTTCTTCCATATATAGTTAAAAAGTATGTTTACTATTTCAGAGAGCATGACACCGGAAATGAGGCCTCCCAAACTTGCCTTTATGTCAAGAGATGATGGTGACAAAGGTTCATCTAGTATTAATGAACCAAAGGTTACAGGTATGGAGCCCATTCTTGGTAGTTTACAATATGATAATATGATTCTCCAAGATGTTAAATAAGCTATATGTTAATGTGTGTGTGTATTTGTATATATGTATATATATGTATACATATAGTTTGTGCCTATCCTTTATGTACATGATTTTAAGTGAGGATGTAGTAAAGAAACCACTGAAATGGCCAGCCTATGAGCTGTGGAGGGAGCTTTTTATTTGGATAAGAGAGAGAACAGCTGGCGGTGTTACACGCCTTCAATCCCAGCTCTCAGGAGGCAAAGGCAGGTGGATCTCTGTGTTTGAGGACAGCCTGGTTGACAGAGCAAGTTCCAGCGAAAAACACTAGAGGGGGAGAGAGAGAGAGAGAGAGAGAGAGGAAGGGAGGGAGCTTCTAATGCACACCAGAAAAAGTTTCAGCCTGTGTTCTGCTTGTTCTGCTGAGCTTTGTCTAAATGAACCTTTAGGAGCTGACTGCCATGCATTCACACGGAGTATCCACAGTTTCACTTGGGAAGAACAAGTCCCCAAGGATGGTGTCATGTACAGCTGCCAGGGTGCAGCTTTTGGTGCTTTTGCTTATTTTTTTGTACAGCTTTTCTGAGTTGGCTTGGGCAGAATCTTCTTTGAGCAGTGAAGACTGCATGCTTGCCACTAACCTTTTTCTCTAATTCATGAACCATCCGGACTTGGATTTTCTGGAAAGATTTCTTCTGAGAAACTGGTGCTAAAATGAGGATTGCTTTCTGACCATCAGCAGCTTCAGTTTCCTTGGCTGTGGTGGGTGATACTGAGTTTCTAAGCTGTGCCTTGAGATCTGAGTTCATCTCCAGCTCAAGCAGTGCATGAGAGATGCTAGACTCGAAGTCATGTCTTCTTGTCGTCATCAGGCTTCCTAGTCTTGGTGCTTGAGCTGATCCTGGCCTTCTCCTGAAAGGAGGAAAGTACCCCTGGTCATATGGGTCGTGGGCTGCATTGTCAGGCCATTGACAGGCACAGGCCGAATATTCCACCACATCCCTAATGAGGGCACAGAGCCTCGGAGGTCCATCCTCCTAAACTACAAAGAACAAGAAATTGTGTTAATAAAATTCTAAGATGTTTATATTGTAAATCTAAAAAAAATATATTATTTCTTTTGTAATGTTGGGGATCAAAGTCAACAGAAACTTATAAGCTAGGTAAGTCCTTTTTTACTCAGGTATTGTTCCAGACAGTGAGATTACTTTTTTATTTTTATTTTTTGGTGCTTGCATCAAATCTGGCATCTTACACAAACTAAAATAGGACTCTACTCCTGAGCCATATATCCACCCAAAACCTGAATGTTTTTTAACTTAATTTGTTCATCAGCTTGTATGATCACATTTGAAGTTTATGAAGGGAAATTATAATGATGAGTCACTTATTACTGGGATGAGTTCTGATAAGTGCATCATTCAGCAGTTTGTTTTCTTGTGTGACTTTTTTTTTTACGAGACCTCTTGTTTGTTCCCAGCTGCTCAGCCCCAAAATAATCACACAGAAACCATATTATTTGCAATACTGTTTGGCCAATAGCTTAAGCATATTTCTGGCTAACTCATCTAAAATTAATCCATCTCCATTAATCTGTGTATTGCTACTAGGCTGTGGCTGACCAGGTATAGTTCTGGCATCTCCTGTGGGGCTATATGACTTCTCATTGACTCTGCCCTTCTTCCTCCCAGCATTCAGTTTTCCCCACCTAGCTCTGTTCTACTCTATCAGGCCATGCCAATTTCTTTATTAACCAATGGTATTCACAGCATGCGGAGGAGAATCCCACATCATGTGACCATCATAGAATGCACTTCACAAACCTTGGTGAAAGAACTTTGTGTATGTCTAGGCTCTATAACACTGCTGGATGTTCTTTTGTTGACTGCAACGGGGTTTCATCCTGTGGATCGTGACCCCTTTGGGGTTTGAATGACCCTTTTATTGGGGTCGTTTAAGACCTTTGGAAAAGAAAGATATTTATATTGCAATTCATAACAGTGGTAAAATTGCAGTTATAAAGTAACAACGAAAATAATTTTCTGGTTGGGGTTTGCCACAGTTTGAGGTATATATAAAGGATGGCAGAATTAGGAAGGTGGAAAACCACTGTTATATGGTATGAATGATAGAGGTGATATTCGTGAGCCAGTAATTTCATCAAAGTAGAGGTGACATTGAAAAATAGACTACATGGAATGATTTTTTTTTTGTCCAGATTTCTTTAGATAGTCTGTAGTGTCCTGGAACTTGCTCAATAGGCCAGGATGGCCTCAAACTCAGATGTGTCTGCCTCTACTAAGTTCTGGGATTAAAGGCTCGTGTCACCACTGACCACCAGAATGGTTTCTTAGAGCTTTAATATAAACGGCTAACTTTTATATTAATTTTATAGCTCCTACTCTCTTCTTGTTGACTAATTACCAAACTTTTAAAGCCAAAGACAATACAATACTATGTATATGTATATTAGTTGTGTGAGCAGTTGTTCTACCATACGCATGTTAATTTATTTATAAAATTTCTTTTTATAACATATTGGCTTTTTAAAAAAGGAACTTTTCTTGTTCCATAGGATCTACCTCAGACCCTGGAAGTAGAACCAGTTCTGAATTATTTTGTTCCTTAATTAGGTCATCTGTTGACTCACAACAACAATCCAAATCCAAAAATTCATTGTATATTGATGAAGGTAATCTATAATTTTAGTCCTCTTTATAATGGTACCCTCTGTTTAATATGTAAGGGGAAATGACTTTTTCATCAATATTTGTTAATTTTGGAAACAGTGAATAGATCATAGCTAATATGACAATATTGCTGAACTAAAATATTAAACATAGTTTCAACTACACTGTTATTAGGGTTGAGGATACATTTGAAATGTGTTAGTAGTCTGGGTTTTGTTTTGCTTTGTTTTTTTTACCCGAGACAGAGTTTCTCTGTATAGAAAGTCCTTGCTGTCCTAGAACTTGCATTATTGATTTGTGTGTAATTCTCTGCTTTTCCTGTTTGCATTTGTTTGTATACATATCTGTTATTCTTCATGCATGTTATGTTTAAAGGTGGAAACATACTTAGTACTGAGTGTCTTGCTAACTCTGATTTGTCTCCTACCCAGGTTTTTATCAAGCTGTGTTCTGTGAAATACACTGATCCAGCATACTTGGGTGGCTGAGAAAGTTTTATCAAGTCAGTTTAGTGCAGCACATTGGTTAGAGGTTATCCAGGCACGTGGGCATGTAAAGGCTCCGGTTTTTACAGTAAACAGATTGTCCATATTTATCTCGGCACCCTCCATAAACGCTTGAGTGTAAAACGCTGTAATGTGTAGGGTTTTGCTGGGCATGCTGATCTGGAAAATGTAACGAAAATTATGAATAAGGTTTTCTTAAAAGCTTTTTAAAACTTCAAATAAAATTGACTGCATCTGACTAACTTTTCAAAAATTAAAGCATTTTGATAACTGATGATTATATTTTCTTACAGAAATTATATTTTTAAGTACAGTGTTGATTTTTTTTCACCTGAGAGAGTACCTTTCAGTACTGTGGAGTCTTTAAAGATAATCTGTAAGATTATAAAGATTGTGCTTTTTTTGTTGGAAAGGATTTCTTTGTTTTTTATGCTAAACTATGTTTCTTCCATATATAGTTAAAAAGTATGTTTACTATTTCAGAGAGCATGACACCGGAAATGAGGCCTCCCAAACTTGCCTTTATGTCAAGAGATGATGGTGACAAAGGTTCATCTAGTATTAATGAACCAAAGGTTACAGGTATGGAGCCCATTCTTGGTAGTTTACAATATGATAATATGATTCTCCAAGATGTTAAATAAGCTATATGTTAATGTGTGTGTGTATTTGTATATATGTGTATATATATGTATACATATAGTT